TATTATTATTATTATTATTATTATTATTATTATTATTATTATTATTATTATTATTATTATTATTACTATTACTATTACTATTACTATTACTATTATTTTTATTTTTATTTTTATTATTATTATTATTATTATTATTATTATTATTATTGTTATTATTATCTTTTTTTTTTTGACAACTGACCTTTTCTAATTCGAATTATCAAGATTTCGAGTGTCGCGGCCGTTAAAAAACGGAAAACATAACCCAGTATCATACTGGCAAGTTTCAAAAAAAGCTGTGACAGGTAAAAAAAGAAATATATTGAAATATATATATACTTTTATATATATTCTAAATAGATAGTTCTATAATGAATTTTTTATTTTATTTTATAGCATTTGCATTTTCACCAGATTGTCAACATGTAGCAACTGTATCTATAGATGGTTTCTTACGGATAATAGATTTCAAGCAAGAAACGTAAGCCAAAAAAATGACAGATATCACGATTTAAAGTAATTTGTGGAATCAGCTTTTATTTTATATTATTCACCATAACTTTTTCTTTTTTTTTGCCATTTTATATTTATGGACTTTCTTGTTCGGTTATAGGTTATTTGACACATACAGTAGCTATTTTGGTGGCTTTTCGTGTGTGTGTTGGAGTCCTGATGGTAAATATATATTGACAGGTGGTCAAGATGATCTGGTCACTATTTGGGCTTTTCGGGAACAACGTATCGTAGCTCGATGTCAAGGCCATCAATCTTGGGTTACCGGCGTGTCTTTCGATCCTTGGCGGTGCGATGAACGCAATTACCGCTTCGGCTCGGTTGGTGAGGACACGAAATTATTACTATGGGATTTTAGTGTAAATGCATTGCACAAGCCAAAGAGCGTATGTTGATTATTATTTCCAAACATTATGTAATTTCTGTTTTTTTTTTCATACCATTCCTTTTAGTTTATTTGTGGGCACTTGTACCCACAAATAATTTGACTTATTATCTTTAATAATGTCACTATCCAGGCGGGTAGTCATCGAAGAGCTAGTCTTGCTTCACAGTCGAATGTTGCTTTACGACGTAACTTGGCTGAACGTGAAATTCTAAAAAATACGGTTCATCCGTGCCTACCTAGGTCAGAAGTTGCAATTCTTCAGCCAGTCATGGTGAGATATAGATATCTTAATTGCTATTTAATTTTATCTCTCGATCATTCATAGTGCATGGATTATTATTTTAGGATAAATCCATTGATGGAGAACCACTTTGCTCAGTAACATTTCGCGAAGATTGCATAATAACAACATGCAGAAAGGGACATATAAAATTATGGGCTCGACCGTAAATTTTGAAATAATTTATCGTCGAAATTAGATTATATAGTTTTTCTCTTTTGTTTTTTTTTTTATAGTTAGATATTGAACTTTTATAGACGTAATTTTGGATGCACGCTTTTATTTTTTATTTTATTTTTTTTTTAAACTCAATACACAACTATTTAATTACATATCATATTTTAACGTTCGCATTTAAGTCTTAATTATTGTTGACTTGATGTTACGATTTATCTAAATATTCAATTATTTATTTCATCTTTAGAGTATTGAAAAGTTTTATCACAAAATCTTATATATTACAATTTTTTTGGCTTTCAATTTGTATAATATAATAAATTCACATCAAAATAACTAGGTTGCATGGCCAAATATAATAGAACTATTTGCACGATTTTAAGGAATATTATTATTAGCTTTACATGTATACTTGCGCCCAAATCCCTAGCTCTGGCTGAACAAATATTTCAAAAACTTTATTAATAATCTTTATTTAATAAATGATGTATGTTCTTATAGTTATGTATAATATCAAGATTATTTTTTGATTCAATTTTTATAAGGGAGTTGACATTCAAGAGCTCATTATAGCCCCAGGGAATGTCAATTGACTATGTTCCACATCCATGAGTCAATTATTTGACAAGTATAAGTTTTAAAGTAATTAATAATATAACTATATAAATCTTGCATATTTTATAAACTTTGCATATTTTTATATATTTTTTGCATTATTGTGCATAATTATGCATAATAATGCAAGAATACATAAAAATATGCAAAATGTTTATTTTTTTATATTAAACTAATCTTTTTAAAAAACTGATTTTTTTATTTAATATAACATAAGAGTTTATAGCTAAATATCTATTTTTAAATAGAGTTGTTAATAATTAGGTTGAAATAATTTAAGTTAATATATTTTTTAAGTGTAAAGTATATGTAGATTATTTTTATATAGTTTTGTATGTCTTTTTAAAAATTTTTTTTTTTTCTTTCACTAAGATTGTAGTTATTGATGACTATTGCCTTTATTGTATTTTAATTATGATTATATAGGGTTGGGCCCTATAGCTTAACGGTAAAGCTGCTAACCCCCCACAGACTAGGTCAACGGTTCAAGTCGGGCTGGAGG